TTATAAGAATTTTCCAGGAATTTTCCAACATTTACAGGAATTCAGCGACAATTTCCGGGAATTTCCAGGAATTTCCAGGAATCTTGCAGGAATTCTTGAGAATTTAGCAGGAATTTTCAGGAATTTTGGAAGAATTTCCTGGAATTTAGCAGGAATTTCCAGGAATTCTGCAGGAATTCCAGGAGAAGCCGGGATCGAGGTTCTCCCAGGAATCCCAGGAATTCTCCCAAGGAAGAGCCGCCTTTCCCTGGATCCAATTTCCCTGGATCAATTCCCAAAATCCCCAGAGGAACGCAGGAATTCAAACCCAGAATTCCCATGGGGGGAAAAATCCCAGGAAAAGCTGTAATCCCTCAAAATTTTGGGAGTTTTTACCCATCATTTCCAGCAAATTTCCATAATTTGGGAATTTTCATCCATTGTTTCTATAATTTCAGTTTTCAATCCAAAAATCCAAGGAAAAATCTGCTTCCCAAGGGGAAAAAAATGGGATATTCCCAGGAAAACCCAAAGGGATCGCTCGCAATTCCCAGAATTTTGGATTTTTTGGGATGAAAACCAGGTAGAATCCATAAAAAAAGCATTTGGGCTTCACCATTCCGGGTCCAAATCCATAAAAAAAAAGGTCTGGGAATTCTTCACACCGGGAAAAATCCATGAAAAATTAATCTGGGCTTCATCAATCCGGGTAAAATCCATGGAAAAATGGGTCTGGGCTTCTTCATTCCAGGAAAAATCCATAAAACGTTTTGGAAGTTTCTTCACTCCAGGTAAAATCCATCAAAAAATCTTTTTGGGCTTCACCAAACCCGGAAAAATTCCCCAAAAAACGGATTTGGGCTTTGTCATTCCAGAAAAAATCCATAAAAAATCTTCTGGGGCTTCAACACGTCGGGAAAAATCCATAAAAAACCAATTCAGGCTCCATCACATCCAGTAAAATCCATGGAAAATCCGTTTGGGCTCTGCCGCAATTCCTGAAATTCCTCTGGGAATTTTTTTCCACCCAAACCAAAGCTCTTGGGAAGTTCCAGAGGGATTTTCCCGACTTCCCAACCCCTGCTGCCAGCTGGGATTTATTCCCAAATTCCCAAAGCAAGCATTCCCAGAGAATATTCCCTAAAAACGCCTCTGGAGCCAGGCTGGGATTGCTGGGAATGTTCTCCCGGAAAAGGGAAATTCCAGGGAAAACCTGGAGCCGCTTCCAGGAGAGGTGGGCTGGCCACAGGGAATGGATTCCCATTGGAAAAGGGGGGATTTAAATGGAATTTTGGGAAGGAATTCCTGCTTGGGATGGAATTCCCGAAGTTTCCAAGAGCAGGTTGGGATAACCTGGAATAACAGGAGGATTTCATCCCAAAGTCCCATCCAAACCTCTCCCACTTCCAACCCCTTTTCCCATTGCTCCAAACCTTCCCAATCCTCACCAGAATTCCTGGAATTCCTGCGAGTTCCCAAATCCCTTTTCCAGCCGTGGAAAAATTCCCGAAGTTCTGAGTTAAACTTTAACCCCGCCGAGCTCAGCATTCCCAGCCCCTCCAGCTCCGGCTTTCCCGACTCCCACCTCGCTCAATCCCGGATTTCACACGGAAATCCCGGATTTGGAGCTGAATTCCAAGGAAAATGAGGATTTTTTTCCCATGGAAATCCCTGTTCCTGATCCCCATTTTCCTCAATTCCCTGTGGAACTCCCAAGCTCTCCTCTTGCCCTCGCAATTCCCGGGAATTGATTTGATCCCGAAGTTCCAGAGATAATAAATAATTCCCGGGAATTCCGCTTTATCCCAGGTTTTGGGCTCCGTGCAAATCCAAATCCACCAAAATCTGATGGAAAACGTCCCCAGCTGCGCCTCGGGAGCTTTGGAGACAATTCCAGAGCGTTGGGGACAATTCCAGAGGGTTTGGGGACAATTCCAGGGGTTTGGAGACAATTCCAGAGGGTTTGGGGACAATTCCAGGGGTTTGGAGACAATTCCAGGGGTTTGGAGACAATTCCAGGGGGTTTGGGGTCACTTCCAGGCAGTTTGGGGACAATTCCAGAGCGTCAGGGACAATTCCAGAGGATTTGGGGTCACTTCCAGGGGGTTTGGGGACAATTCCAGGGGGTTTGGGGTCACTTCCAGGGGGTTTGGGGACAATTCCAGGGGGTTCGGGGTCACTTCCAGGGGGTTTGGGGGAAATTCCAGGGGGTTTGGGGTCACTTCCAGGGGGTTTGGGGTCACTTCCAGGGGGTTTGGGGTCACTTCCAGGGGGTTTGGGGTCACTTCCAGGGGGTTTAGACGTCAGGAACTCTCCCAAAGGGGTCTGGGTTCCTTCAGAGGGCTCTGAGCCCACTCTGAGCCTTCGCTTCCCTCCCTCAGAGGTTTCTGGTCCTTTCCAGAGGGTTTCGGGCTCTTTCCCAGGGGTTTTGTCCCCTCCACTCCAACCTGGAACTTTTCCATCCCTGATTTCCCTGCTGGCTCCCACCCCATGAACTTCTCCACGCTGGGATTCCCTCGGAACACCCGTGAAAAGCTTTCCCCAACTCGGAGAGCTCCCACGGCTGGGAAAGGATCCCAGACCCGGCTGGAGAAGGATCCCAGACCCGGCTGGAGAAGGATCCCAGACCCGGCTGGAGAAGGATCCCAAACCCGGCTGGAGAAGGATCCCAGACCCGGCTGGAGAAGGAGCCGAGCCCAGCCGGGATCCCCCGGCTGCCCAGCCCGCGGCTCCCCGGGCCGGGGCCGGGAGCGGCTCCGCCGGGCCCCGTTGTCAGGAGCCCGCAGGCACCGGGGGTGCCCCGGCCGCTGCTTCCAAGTGGAAAACGGGACCTGAGCGAGCTTTTGCCGCCCTTCCCGCGGGGTTCCCGCAAAGCAGCGGGGACAGAGCCCCGAGGGGACCCGGCAGGGCCGCGGGCAGAGCCCGGGAGGAGCGCCCGGGACACACGGAACCACACCGGGAACACTCGGAGCCACACCGGGGACACTCGGAGCCACACCGGGAACACTCGGAGCCACACCGGGGACACTCGGAGCCACACCGGGGACACTCGGAGCCACACCGGGGACACACCGAACCACATCGGGGACACACCGAACCACACCGGGGACACACGGAGCCACACCGGGAGACACACGGAGTCACACCGAGGGCACATAGAGCGACACCAGGGGACACACGGAACCCCACCGGGAGCACACGGAACCACACCGAGTGCACATAGAGCGACACCGGAGAACACTCGGAGCCACACCGGGAGACACACGGAGCCACACCGAGTGCACATAGAGAGACACCGGAGGACACTCGGAGCCAGACCGGGGACACTCGGAGCCACACGGGGAGAGCGCAGCGGCAGCGCCGCCTCCCCGGCAAGCACGGCCTGCGCGCCTGGGCCGCGCCGGGCCTGGCCGGGCCTGGCCGTGCGGGGCTCGGCCGCGCGGGCCGGGGGGGCGGCGCGGGGGTGCCGGGAGGGCGGCGAGCGGGCCCGGGCGAGCCCCGCGCTGCAGCCGGAGCTCACCTGCACATGATCCGCCATCTTGCCCCATTCATGCTCCGCTCGCGCCTCCGCCCCCGCCTGCGCCGGGCCCGGCGCCACCGCGTCCCCCCGCGCCGCCGGCCGCACCGCGCATGCGCCGCGCCGCGACCCCGCCCCTCCTGCGCCTGCGCGCGCGCGCGGGACACGCCCCCTCCGCGCCCGCCCCGCCTATCCGGCGCCTGCGCGCGCGCAAAGGACACGCCCCCCAGGGGTGAGCCACGCCCACGCGGAGTAAACCACGCCCCTTCTTCCGAGAGCGCTGGCTTAGGCCACGCCCGTCCAACTCAGGCCACGCCCATCCAGCTCAGGCCACGCCCACGTGTCTGTCTGGGGCCTGCGCGCGACGGAGGGACACGCCCATGACGGTCTGGCCACGCCCCTGTGCGCCCGCGGCGCGCTGCGTCTGACGTCACGGCGTCGGCGCGGCGCGGGGAGAGGAGGGAGGGGCGCGAGCTCGGTTTGTTGACACCGCCTTAAAGGGGCCGCGCACCCCGGAGACAGTGGGTACAGCGCTGAGAGCAGCGACACCTGCACGGGCAGTGCCACCGGTGCCACCAGTGCTACCACTGCCACCTGTGCCACCAGTGCTACCAGTGCTACCAGTGCCACCTGTGCAACCAGTGCTACCAGTTCTACCAGTGCTACCAGTACCACCACTGCCACCTGTGCCACCTGTGCAACCAGTGCCACCACTGCTACCAGTGCTACCTGTGCTCCCAGCGCCACCAGTGCCGCCAGCGCCACCAGCACCACCGGTGTTACCAGTGCTACCAGTGCCACCACTGCCACCACTGCCACCTGTGCCACCAGTGCTACCAGTGCCAGCAGTGCCAGCAGTGTCACCTGTGCCACTGGCGCCACCGGTGTCACTGGTGCTACCAGCGCCACCAGAGCCCTCAGTGCCACCGGTGCCACCAGCATCAGCAGTGCCAGCGGTGCCAGCAGTGTCACTGCTGTCCCCGGTGTCCCCGGTGCCCTGTGCAGTGCTCAGTGTCCTGTGCGAGGGTCCGGCCGTGCTGCCCAGTGCCCATCAGCACCACAGGGTGACACACGGGTGTGTCTGGCAGTGCCACACCCACTGTGCCATGCCCACTACATCACACCCACTGTGCCACACCCACCTATCCACAGTGCCACACCCTCCTGCCCACAGCGCCACACCCAGTGCCACACCCAGTGCCACACCCACAATGCCACCCGCAGTGCCACGCCCTCCTGCCCTCAGTGCCACACCCACAGTGCCACACCCGCAGTGCCACACCCAGTGCCACACCCGCAGTGCCACACCCTGTGCCACACCCACAGTGCCACACCCGCAGTGCCACACCCGGTGCCACACCCACAGTGCCACACCCGCAGTGCCACACCCAGTGCCACACCCGCAGTGCCACACTTGGTTCCACACCCAGTGCCACGCCCTCCGCGCGGCAGTGCCGCTGTCCCCGCGGCGCTCACAGGAAGCCACCGCCAGCAGAGGAAGCGGCAGAGCCTGGGCTGGGAGTGGCACAGGCTGAGCCGGCCCCGCTGCCACTGCGGGGGGAACACGGCCCCGCCGGACCCCCGGGGGCACCCCGGACACTGCGGACACTGCGGACACCCCGGACACTGCGGACACTCTGGACGCTCCGGACACTCCGGACATGCCGGGATGGAGGAGGCAGTGGTGAAGCAGGGCTGGATTTACCTGCAGCTCCAGCAGCCATTCGGGAAGGTCAGGGGGCTCGGGGGTCCGGGAGGGGAGTGGATCCCACAGGAATGGGGTGAATCCCGTGGGAATGGAGTGGAACCACGGGAATGGAGTGGATCCCACAGGAATGGGGTGAATCCCGTGGGAATGGAGTGGAACCCACGGGAATGGAGTGGATCCCATGGGAATGGAGTGGATCCCACAGGAATGGGGTGAATCCCGTGGGAATGGAGTGGAACCCACGGGAACGGGGTGGATCCCTTGGGAATGGAGCGAATCCCATGGGAATGGAGTGAATCCCATGGGAATGGGGTGGATCCCGTGGGAATGGGGTGAATCCTGTGGGAATGGGGTGAATCCTGTGGGAATGGGGTGAATCCTGTGGGAATGGGGTGATCCCAGCCATTGGATGCTCCACTGTCCCTCATCCACGGCGGGGGGACAGGAGCTGCTGGGGACACTCTGTAGAGACCCCCCAAGAGAGACCCTGCAGAGTTGGGGGTGACAGAAGTGACCTGGGACTGACAGATGTGACCCCAAAGCCCCATTTGGGGACAGTTCCAGCTCAGGGGGTGACAGAAATTACCCCAAAACCCCATACAGGGACAGTTCCAGCTCAGGGGGTGACAGAAATGACCCCAAAGCCCCATCTGGGGACAGCTCCAGCTCGGGGGATGACAGAAATGACCCCAAAGCCCCATTTGGGGACAGCTCCAGCTGGGGGAGGTGGCCGAGGCCCCAAAACCGTGCGGTTCCGGCTCCGATAACGGCCGGGGTTGGGCGATGGCTGCCCAGGGGAAGGAGCTGAGGGGCCTCTCCTGCTCCTCTCCCTTCTCTTCCTCCCCACAGAGCCCATTCCTGGGGGATCCACCCCACGGGAAGGGCAGCGATCCCAAAACCGCATCCCAGGAAAAGGGAGCCCCAGGCCGGTTTTGGGGTGACTTCCCTGCCCCCACTTCCCCTCCGCCGTGGGGCCTCCCTCGCACCCCGAGCCCGGAACTGCTGCGGCTTCTGCTGAGCTGAAAAGTTGGGGGATTTTAGGGAAAACGGGAGCTGGAAGTTGTTGGCGGCTTGTGGGGGAATGGGGTTGGGTGAGGCCGGGGCTGGGAAGGCCTCGCTGCAGGGTGGGAATGTTTATCCAGGGATTTTGAAATCCCAATTTCCATCACTCCTGGGTGTGGTGAGGGGCTTTGTCCTGCCTTGGGTTCCTGCGTGATTCCAAGGGGGCAAAAACTCCTGGAGGTAAAAATTCCTGGGAAGGTAAAAACTCCAGGAAAAGTCAAACCGTCAGGAAAGGTAAAAAATCCTGGGCAGATAAAAACACCCAAAGAAAGGTAAAATCTCCTGGGAAAAAAAACAACTCCTGGGAAGGTAAAAACTCCTGGGAAAGTAAAAATACCTGGGAAAGTAAAGACACCTGGGAAGGCAAAAATTCCTGGGAAGGTAAAAACACCTTGGAAAGTTCAAACTCCTGGGATGGTACAAATTTCTGGGACGGTAAAATTCCCAGGAAGGTAAAATTCCCGGAAAGACACAAATCCCCAGGAAGACACAAATTCCCGGGAAGACACAAATCCCCGGGAAGGCACAAATTCCCGGGAAGACACAAATTCCTGGGAAGACACAAATGCCCGGGAAGGCACAAATTCCCGGGAAGACACAAATTCCCGGGAAGACACAAATCCCTGGGAAGGTCAAGCCCCCGGGCAGGCCAGGCCGTGCCGGGAATGCCGACGCGGTGCTCTCCCCGCGGCAGAGGTGGAAGAAGCTCTGGGCCGTGCTGTACCGGGACAGCCGTGGGTCCCCGGCGCACCTGGAGCTGCGGGACGGCCCCGAGCGGCCGCGCAAGGCCGAGCCCGCCCGGCGCCCGCTGCGGCTCCGCGACTGCGTCCGCGTGGTCCCGGCGGGGACCGAGACCTCCTGTCCCGGGGACACCGTCCCCATCCTGCTGGACACGGCCGAGCGCCGCGTGCTGCTGGCTGCTCCCGCGGCCGAGGCGGACGAGTGGATCCGGCGGCTGTGCGAGCTGGCATTCCCGGTATGAAATGGGAGCTGCTGGGATGGATGGGATCCCCTGGATGGATGGGATCCCTGGGATGGATGAGATCTGTTGGGATGGATGGGAACCCTGGGATGGATAGGATCCGTTGGGATGGATGGGATCTGTTGGGATGGATGGGATCCCTGGGATGGATGGGATCTGTTGGGATGGATGGGAACCCTGGGATGGATGGGATCTGTTGGGAGGGATGGGATCTATTCAGATGGATGGGATCCCTGGGATGGATGGGATCCATTGGGATGGATGAGATCCGTTGGGATGGATGGGATCCCTGGGATGGATGGGATCTGTTGGGATGGATGGGAACCCTGGGATGGATGGGATCTGTTGGGAGGGATGGGATCTATTCGGATGGATGGGATCCCTGGGATGGATGGGATCCATTGGGATGGATGGGATCCATTGGGATGGATGGGATCCATTGGGATGGATGAGATCCGTTGGGATGGATGGGATCCCTGGGATGGATGGGATCTGTTTGGATGGATGGGAACCCTGGGATGGATGGGATCTGTTGGGAGGGATGGGGTCTATTCGGATGGATGGGATCCCCTGGGATGGCTGGGATCCATTGGGATGGCTGGGATCCGTTGGGATGGATGGGATCCCTGGGATGGATGGGAACCCTGGGATGGATGGGATCTGTTGGGAGGGATGGGATCCCTGGGATGGATGGGATCTGTTGGGAGGGATGGGATCCCTGGGATGGATGGGATCCCCTGGGATGGCTGGGATCCATTGGGATGGATGGGATCCCTGGGATGGATGGGATCCCTTGGGAGGGATGGGATCCCTTGGGAGGGATGGGCTCCCCTGGGAGGGATGGGATCTATTCAGATGGATGGGATCCCTTGGGATGGATGGGATCCCTTGGGATGGATGGGGTCCCTTGGGATGGATGGGATCCCTGGGATGGATGGGATCCCCTGGGATGGCTGGGATCCATTGGGATGGATGGGATCCCTGGGATGGATGGGATCTGTTGGGAGGGATGGGATCCCTGGGATGGATGGGATCCCCTGGGATGGCTGGGATCCATTGGGATGGATGGGGTCCCTTGGGATGGATGGGATCCCTGGGATGGATGGGGTCCCTTGGGATGGATGGGATCCCTTGGGAGGGATGGGATCCCTTGGGAGGGATGGGCTCCCCTGGGAGGGATGGGATCTATTCAGATGGATGGGATCCCTGGGATGGTTGGGATCCATTGGGATGGATGGGATCTGTCGGGATGGATGGGATCCCTTGGGATGGATGGGATCCATTGGGATGGATGGGATCTGTTGGGATGGATGGGATCCCTTGGGATGGATGGGATCCATTGGGATGGATGGGATCCATTGGGATGGATGGGATCCCAGGGATGGGTGGAACCCTCGCCTCCCACTCTTCCCCCGGGCAGAGGAGCCAGGAGGAGCCGGGAGTGGCCAAGGAGGGATCGCTGAGCTCGCCGGGCATGGAGGGAGAGTTTTCCATGGAGGAAAATTCCCTGTACAGCTCACGGGACAAAGGTGGGAGCGGGACTGGGGCTGCTGCGGGGTGGGGAAATCTCCCCCCAAAAGCCTCTTCCTGCTCTTCCTGCTCCTCCTCCTCCTCTTCCTGCTGTGGTTTGTGGGGCTGCCTTGGCTGCGCTATCAGCAGTGGCGGGAGCTGTCCAGCCCTTATCGGCTGGTCACTGCTGGCCTGGCTGGAGGGGTCATCCACAGCCCTTCTGGGGGGTGGGACACATGGCCAGTGTCCACCATGTCCATCCCAGCCTCTGGCCTGGGGGTCACTCTTGGCCTCTCTGTGGGGTGGCACCGTGTCCGATGCTGTGTCCATCCCAGCCCCTGTGTGCCGTGGCACCGAGTCCATCCCAGCCCCTGTGTGCCGTGGCACTGTGTCCGATGTCGTGTCCCTCCCCAGCCGGCCTGGAGCAGGAGTTCGAGGTGACAGTGAGGCCGACGCCGTCGTCGCAGCGCTGCCAGCTCCGGGGCCGCTGCATCCTGCGGGCCGCTGAGGAGTCCCTGGAGCTGCGGCATCCGAGGAGCCGGGAGCCGCTGTTCCGCTGGCCCTACCGCTTCCTGCGCCGCTTCGGCCGCGACAAGGTCAGCGGTGCTCGGGGAGCCCGGCCCGGGCTGGCCTGGGCACCGCGGGGACCGAGCCCTGCCTTCCCTCCACAGGTGACCTTCTCCTTCGAGGCTGGCCGGCGCTGCGAGTCCGGAGAGGGCAACTTCGAGTTCGACACCAGGCAAGGCAACGAGATCTTCGCGGCCATCGAGGCGGCCATCGAGCTCCAGCGGGGCCGCGGCACCGAGGAGCCGCGCCGGGGAGGCCCCGCGGACGAGGGCCTTGACCGGGCCGCTCCGGCCGGGCGGGCGCAGGGCCGCGAGGAGCACGAGGGCCCCTCTGGGGAGGCCAAAGGACTCAAGGCCAAGGCGGCGATGCCCCCCGGGGCAGGGGAGCGCTCGGGGCCGCTCCAGCCTTCGCGGGGTGTGGATTTTCCCCACGCCGAGCCCCGCCGTTCCCCACGGCTGAGGCCGGACGGCGCCGAGGTGGAGCCCGAGTACGCCGTTCCCTTCGATGCCGTGGCCAAGGCCTTCCTGGCGCGGCGGTTCGGCGGCCTGGACCGGCCCCAGGAGGAGGTCCCCGAGCTCCCGAGGGTCCCCAGGGATGCAGGAGGGGGTGGGCAGCCCCCCGGCCGCCCCCCGGCCCCCAAAGCCGAGCACATCTATGACGAGCCCGAGGGGCTCGCGGCGCTCGCGCTCTACGACGAGCCCGAGGAGGTGAAGGGGGAGGCCTGGAGGCTGCAGGCGGCCCCCGAGGAGCCCCCCGGGCTGGGGTGTCCCTACAACGCCCAGAGCGACGACTACGCCGTCCCCAAAAGATCCTTCCTGCTCCCCGGCTCGGAGCGGCTCGGCCACTGCGACTACGACAACGTGGCCCTCAGGGGGGCCAGGAGGAGGAACCTGCAGTGAGGAGCAGCGGGGACAGAGGAGGGGGCGACACCACAAATGCCCCGGTCTGACTCTGGGCCATGGGGACACATCTGGGCAGCGGGGTGGCACAGCCGGGGATGGCAGGGGACACCTGAAAGGTGGCAGGGGACACCTGGGGTTGTCAGGAGGCAGCCGAGGGTGGCAGTGCCAGCTGGCAGCCCGGGAGCGAGCCGTGCCGCTGGAGGGCAGTGCGAGCCCGCGCAGCGACCGTGCCCGGGAGCCCCGGCCCCGTGCTCCGGCCCCGCTCAGCCCCTGCTCCGGCCCCGCTCAGCCCCTGCTCCGGCCCCGGGAGCCCCGGCCCCGCTCAGACCCTGCTCCGGCCCCTGGAGTCCCGGCCCCGCTCCGGCCCCGGGAGCCCCGGCCCCGCTCGGACCCTGGAGTCCCGGCTCTGCCCCGGCCATCCTCCTGGGATGCGCTTCCAGAGGCGCCTGGAGCAGGAATGGGCCTGGGCGGCTCAGCTGGATGCGCTTCCCCAGGGATGGACATCCCGAATCCCACAGGATGGACAATGCTCATTCCCACGGATGGACATCCCGAATCCCACAGGATGGACATCCCAAATCCCACAGGGATGCAGATCCCACCCCATGGGATGGACGCTGCTCATTCCAGGGATACGGATCCCTCCCGTGCCCACACACAGCCCCCAGTGCTCCCAGTATGTTCCAGTGCCCTGGCAGAGCCGCTCCTTCCCTGCCCAAAGCTCCCTCCTGCTCCTCGCTCAGCAATCTCAGATTCTGGCTGCTCCAATTGTTTGGAATTCCCCATAGAGCGCCCCTTTCCAGCCCCTCGGAATTCCAGATGGAAAACTGGGCTTTATTTCCATGGAGATGTTCACCGCTGGCTCCAGTCCTCCCAGTACAAACCAGTACACAGCCCCTGGGCCATCCTCCTTCTCCTTCTCCTTCCCCTTCCCCTTCCCCTTCCCCTTCCCCTTCCCCTTCCCCTTCCCCTTCCCCTTCCCCTTCCCCTTCCCCTTCCCCTTCCCCTTCCCCTTCCCCTTCCCCTTCCCCTTCCCCTTCCCCTTCCCCTTCCCCTTCCCCTTCCCCTTCCCCTTCCCCTTCCCCTTCCCCTTCCCCTTCCCCTTCCCCTTCCCCTTCCCCTTCCCCTTCCCCTTCCCCTTCCCCTTCCCCTTCCCCTTCCCCTTCCCCTTCCCCTTCCCCTTCCCCTTCCCCTTCCCCTTCTCCTTCCTTCTCATCTTCCTCCCCCTCCTCTTCCCATCCACCTCCAGCCTTTCCTTTCCTCGGGGACATCCGGCCCCTCAGCCAGACCCATCCCAATTCCCCATGGAATTTCCCGGGATCCATCGGTGCCCAGGGCCCAGCTCAGACCCCCCCCAGCCCCATCCGCACCCTGGGATCGAAGCTCCTCCCGTCAGGTTTTCCATGGAAAGCGCAGACATTCCATGAATTATTTATAACCTCTCCCAATCAGAGGCGACGCTCAGGTGCTCCGGTTCATTTCCTGGATCCTGGGAATCCGGCAGGTTTTAATGAGCCAAATTAAGTGGTTTTGATAAGAGATGCTGATTAAAGCTCTGGATCCATGGCTGCATCACGGGCGGGATTGAAGGGAATGGGATGCACAGGTGGGATCCTGCTCCAATGGGATCCTGCTCCAGGGATCCTGCTCCAATGGGATCCTGCTCCAATGGGATCCTGCTCCAGGGATCCTGCTCCAATGGGATCCTGCTCCAGGGATCCTGCTCCAGGGATCCTGCTCCAATGGGATCCTGCTCCAGCGGGATCCTGCTCCAGGCGGGATCACACAGGGAGAAACACCTAAAGGTGGTCGGTCCAGAATGAAAAGCTTCCAGCAGGATTTTCCACGTGGGACTAAGGAAAATCACGGAGCAGGGTGGAGCTGGAAGGGGTTTAGGATGAACTGAGGGGCAGGAGATGCTTCCCAACCTTTCCCATCCTTTCCCTTTTCCCATTCCTATGGAAAAACGGGATGGTCCTGTCCATGGCCGGGCTGGTTCCCATCCCCAGAGCCGGGGAAATCCAGGAGAATTCCCAAGCTGGGGACTTCTGGCAGCTTGGGGCCGTTCATCGGGAATCGATGGCTTGAGCACATGTTATTATTAATTAATTAACACTCATTAGGGCCTTATTCATTATTAATTGGTGTTAACACAACCCTCCCTCCCTCCTCCAGCCCAGCTTCCTGCTGCATCCCTGCTCCTCCCGGCTTTCCTGCCTTAACCCAAGGAATGGGAACGCTTCCCAGATTTCCCAGTTCCATGGGAAACCAGGGAATGATGGATCACCAGGAATGATGCTGTAAAAACATGGAAATGCTTCCCAGATTTCCCAGTTCTATGGGAAACCAGGGAATGATGGATCACCAGGAATGATGCTGTAAAAACATGGAAATGCTTCCCAGATTTCCCAGTTCCATGGGAAACCAGGGAATGATGGATCACCAGGAATGATGCTGTAAAAACATGGAAATGCTTCCCAGATTTCCCAGTTCTATGGGAAGCCAGGGAACGAGGGATCACCGGGAATGGCGCTGTAAAAACATGGAAACACTTCCCAAAAATTCCCAGTCCTGTGGGATTTGCAGTGGCGGGCAGGGATCATTGGGAATGGAACCAATCAAGTTTTAGAGGCAGCAGCAGGGCTTGGGTGAAATCCCTGGAATTTTGGTTCTGGAATTGCATCCCCTGCCTGCCCCGCCCCCGCAGATGGGGTTTAGAGTGGAAAAGAGCCTGGAGAATTCCAAGCTGGAAAAACCCTTGGAAAAGCTCAGCGAAGGGCTGGGCTGGGCAAAAATGAATGGAAAAGAGGGAGGGAAGAGCTGGAAGCCCAAAGCTCCAGAAGAACGGAGAGGTTTAATCTGATTTGGGAATTTCTGTCCTGATGGAATTCTGCTGGTTATGAATCATCCAGGAGCAGGGATGATGGGAGCATGGATTTGTTTCGAGCTCCAAGGGGCTCCCGAGCGGAGGAGAGGCAGAGCAGCATCCCAAAGGAAAACTGGGAATGCTCGGAGGGGGCAGAGCAAGGAAAAATGGGATCTGGGATGGGAAAATTGGGCCTGGGAGCAGAGCAGGGATGCAGCCCTGGGGCAGAAAACCGGGATGATCCCAAGGGAAAGCTGGGCTGCTTGGAGCAGAGCAAGGAAAGTGGGATCAGGAGATCTCCGGGGTGGAGAGGATGGGGAATGGACCAGGAATGCAGCTCTGGGGAGAAAAGTGGGAGAATCCCAAGGGAAAGCTGGGCTGGGAGAGCTTGGAGAGGCAGAGAGAGGAATGAGGGAATCTCCAGGATGGGGAGGAAGGGGAAATAAAGATTGGGAACAGATCAGGGATGCAGTCCTGTGGAAAAAACTGGGATAATCCCAAGGAAAAGATGGGCTGGAGGGGCAGAATGAGGAATGAGGGGTGTGGGAATCTCCGGCATGGAGAGGAACGGGAATTAAAGATGGGGAAGTTGGCACAGACCAGGGGTGCAGCCCTGTGAAAAAAAATGGGATAATCCCAAGGGAAAGCTGGGCCAGCTTGGATTAGGCACGGGAAGAGGGGTGTGGGAATGGAGAGGATGGGGAATTTGGATTGGGAACAGACCAGGAACGCAGCCCTGTGGAAAAATCTGGGATAATCCCAAGGGAAAGCTGGGCTGGCAAGGCCTGGATTGCTCAGGACACGGAAAGATCCAGGGACCTCCAGGATGGGTGAAACAAGGAACAAACCCACTGAAAAGCGGGATGGGGGCGCTTCCCATGGCCCAGAGACGCCGCTCCCGTTTTTCCCGCGGCCCAGCTCGTTTTCCCATTACTGTCTGCTCGGATTAGGGATGCGCTCGCTCTCCCGCTCCGGCCGAATCCCAGGCGCCAGCAGGAGCTGGAAACCGCATTAGAGCCATGCCGAGGAGCCCCTAACGGAATTAGGGAGCCTCATTAGAGGTGCTGAGTGACGAGGAGCTCGTCAGGCCGGGATTGATGGAAATCCCATTCCCGGAGCCAGCAGGAGCAGGGCTCTTCATTCAGGAAAAAATTGCTTAATTGGGAAGGTCTGGATTGTCTCTGCCTGTCTCGTTCCTGGAGCTTCTCGGGATGTGGGATGGGTGGGAGTGAGGAGAAGGTGGAGGTGACAGAGGGGAATTCTGAAATCATCCATCCTGCTTTTCCTCATCCTTTCGGCAGTTTGAGGATTCCCAGAGCGGTTATTCCTGGGAATTCCAGCATTCCAGACCTGGGAAAAAACAGGTCCATGGCTGTCCTGCAGGAGCTGGGCTGGTCCTGCCCCAGCTGAATTCCTTGGCAGCGACGGGAGTCCCTAAAGCCGGACTTCGGTGGGAAGGAAGCCATAAAAGGCCAGAGCCATAATTCCTTCATCCCACATCGATCCCGCGGCCTCTGCTGCCCACGGAGCAGCCGGGGGCACCAACTGGGCATCGATCCCGGCACCTGGGCAGGGCCAGAGCATCCCTGAGCCCTGCTGGGAGTAAATTCCCACTCTGATCCCAGCCTGGAGCATCCCTGAGCCCTGCTGGGACTGAATTCCCATTCCAATCCCAGCCTGGAGCATCCCTGAGCCCTGCTGGGAGTAAATTCCCACTCTGATCCCAGCCTGGAGCATCCCTGAGCCCTGCTGGGAGTAAATTCCCATTCCAATCCCAGCCCGGAGCATCCCCACCCCCTGCTCATGCTGGGACCAAATTCCCAGATTCCTCTGTCTTCCCTTTCCTTCCTGTCCATATAAATATCTGGGAAAAATTATATTAATATATTTATATATATTTATATTTATATTTATATTTATATTTATATTTATATTTATATTTATATTTATATTTATATTTATATTTATATTTCCCATGGCTGTTTTTTGGGAAAAAGAAGCCCAAACACCCCCCAGCTGCTGCTGCAAGGGGCACATCCCAAATCCCACAGCACCAAATTCCCTGCTGAGGGATGCAGGGATGGAGGGAATGTTTGGGGAGAATCCATGAGATTGAGGGATGGGGATGAGATCCCGATGTGAGATCCCAGGGGATGGGAGAGTGGAGAAAGGAAAACCTGGATCAAAGGAGCAGCCGGATTTCCTGCTGGGAACAGGAGGAGACGAGGAGGGCTCGTTCCAAGGTGTGG